GGAAGGGAGAGAGGAAGCTCGGAAAAATGCCGGTAGCTAGGTGGCCGTTGGCTATGCTAAGCTTGGAGCTTGCAGCAGATTTTTTGCGAGCACAAAATCGGCTTTCTAAACCAGATAGCAGTTGCTTCTGCTGTTGCTAGCAGGCGCTGACCTGCTGCAAGCTCCAAGCTTAACATGGCCAACGGCCACCTAGCTACCGGCATTTTTCCGAGCTTCCTCTCTCCCTTCCCCCCTCCCTAATTGCCGCTTAATTAGCCGCTTGTTACTGCCCCAACCCCCTCCCCTATCCTCTGGACTAATTTACTTGTAACGTTTAACATAATTTACCTACAATTTTATCTTTTACACTTTACCCTTCTCCCATATAAATGTAATGGCCTGATGAGAATTTATTGAAAGTATACGCATGCTCGCCAATGGCTCTTCAAGATCTGAATAATTATTTTTTGAGAAAAAAGGTGGGTTTACTGAAACAAATTTACCAATATTCTGCCGTCTTAGAGGACTTGGTCTGATCGTACTTGTCAAAGCTTTAAATGCAGGTAATCAAACAGCACCGGAATTGGCGTAGTATGCCATTCTGATCGATTTTTTGCTGCCTCGGAGGATGTTTAACAAGCAATATAGCCGCGTTCGTTATGATTGACTCCCCTGATGGTGGAGGAGTAGGGGATGGTTGAGCTTCCATCGGCGTTGTTCGGATAGGCGGCTCCTTCTTCTCTTCGGGTGATTTCGTTCTCAGATTGTGTCTGTAGGACTTTCTTGGGTTTTGTGCGGCTGTTTTGTTCTGAGCATTGTGTACGTAAGGGCAAAATACTTTGAAGGCTGTATGAAAATCAAGATGCCTGTTGATGGAGTTGGCATCAATCCTCAAGCGTTAGCCAATCCATTTTTGAATTGCTCCGACGTAAGATGGTGACTCTTTGACAGTCGAAAGTATGGCCACTTTTTCCCACGTGCGCTGCAAGCTGAGAATTTTGGCCCAGCCTCCAAACTGCCGATTTGTGCTTCCGTAGGCGGCTCTGCAGCTACCGCCCGGCTAATCCTACGTAATTGCAGTTCATTCCCTCTTAACTTTTTTAAACAATAACTTTTGGGGTTTCAGTGAATGGCAACTTGTCCTTGGGTTGCATCAAACGGCGGCAAATCGTTTCATTGGGTCGGTGGGTTATGTTTAGTCTGGTGAGTAGTAACAGTCGAGAAACCGCCTCGGATAATCTCTTAGTGTAGGGTATAGTCCTCTAGACTTCTGGTGGCTGCTTCCTTGGTCGATGTCTATTGGCTCGACAACCCTTCCTGTTTTGTTTGATTACCTACAGTGAACTCGTCGACAATGGAGAGCCAGCCAAGCACTCCAAACCGTCAGCATATTAACAAATGTGTTGCCACGAGCCCGACTTTCCCTCGGATTATAGACCCCAACATCTCAATTTTGCCAATCTGAAAATTTATTTTTAGCAACCTGATGGCACATTCGGTATTGAAGGTACAAATTAGATTACCGGGCGGAATCCACTACACGTGACCATCAGAATCGCTACAGTAGCTTTTGGCCAAGTTTAATGTCTTGTCCGTTCAATAGTAGACGGGGAGCATTCTGAGTTTACCAAATAAACTATCAAATAGCTAGGTCTGCTTTCTCAAGCATTCCTTTGGGAGCAGTGTTTGATATTTCGTTTTGAAGAAGGCATGTACAGAATCCATTGCATCACTCAAAGCTTAGTTGGGAAAGAGGACGCAGTTGCTTATCCCTAGCTCTCCTTAACTGACAATGACAGACATTTAAAGTACGCACTTAACTGTCTTATCTCCTTTTAGAACTTTTATCCAATAAATGCTTTGCGAAATATTGCAATGGAGTACGCGACAACTGATTATGTGTTCCTCGTTGACTTTGATTTCATTCCAACTCCCCGGATGCACACATATCTCAGCGACACACTGACATCACAAATATCGAAGGTAATTATGGAGTTAAGTTTGCAATTATTCTCGTTTTTGCGGCGCAGATAAGAGGACAGTATATCAGTCTGCAGTCGGTGTCTAGGTTCTTTTTTTGTTTCTATGCAAGTGAACTTCCGCGAAAATAAAAGGTCTGGGCTTCCCGTAATGTAAGCCAAAAAGGATAAACTGACTAAAAAAAATCGAGAAAACTACTTTCTCCAAAGTAGAACTTTCACATATTTGAGCATATACTCTGAAGTGAACTCCTTTAGTTTATGTTGAGTAACAGCAGGGAAGAATCAGAACTTTTAACAAAAATTAAAGCTTAGGATGCCACAGACAATTGACGATCTGTCAACGCCGTTTGGAAATATTTGCTCTCTTGTATTATCCTAAAAAACTAAAAAACGTCCAATGGTTTTTACTTAGCTATCATCTGTTTTAAATATGGGATGTTATTCCATTTCTCGATAATGTTTTGATGCTCTCTGGTATACGAACTATGCACGAAATTAACTTCAGCAAGGTTTTGGCAATCAGCAAATGGTAGTTATTATTTTTTGAATTTTGGACCCGAGTCCGAATCTTTGGTCTAAATTTTGTTCTTTAATAAATAGACCAAACTAAG